AGGCAATGGATAACCTGCCTGAGAAGATGAGGGTAGTTTGAGGGTCGAATTGGCCATTCGCCCTCAGACTACTCTCCCACTCCCCAGGCTGCTGGCAGGCACTCCACCGCCAGCAGTCAAGAAAGCATCAAGGGTTGTTTAATGGTTAGAGCATATAAATGTGTTAAGCATCAAGCATGTGATGAAAGGGTAAAAATAATTTAACGATTAGGATAAAATGTTTTTCAAGTCAAATGGTATTAAGAAAGTAAAGACGTAAAGAGAATATCAGTGTGGAAGGGAGAGGAACATTTTATAAGTAAAACTGGAAAAGGTGCCATTATGAAAGTCAACAAGTAATACGGGTAGAGATAGGTGTCAGAGAAATAGGAGGAAAATAATCTGGGGAATGATATAAGGGAACAGGGGAAGGTGGAAAGGTATCAGGGATAATGTCAGGAGGGGAGGGGTTTGGAGGACACTGTTGTGACAGAAGGGAGTCACATGAGCATCCAGGTAGGAGTGGTAAGGATAAAGGGGAAAGAAGAGGGAGTGGTGGTACACGTGGAGGAGAGGATGGGGTGTTTTGGGGAGAGAGGGGAAACTTGAGGAGTATCAGCAAATACTTTAAATGCATAGTGAATAGTAATAGAAGGTCTGAAAGATGGATGAGAGAGTGAAGCATTCTCTGGGTTATGTTTAGGAAGTTTTTTTTTATGTCAAGAATTTCTGGAGGGGAGTTGGGTGGGGAAGTCTGAGAAACAAAGGTTTTCTTGTGAGGAGCAGAGGAAGAGGTGGGTGTAGGAGAGTAAAGTAGGAGAATATGGGGTGGAATATTTAGATGCCTCTTACGATAGATAAGTGAGAAAGAGTAGGGGTTGGCATCGAGGAAGTGACATATGAGTACTGGATTTAGAATTGCTACCTAAGATTCGAGCTTATATGTAGGACAACTATAAATTATTTATGGGAGCCTCCACAATTGGCAACGTGTATAACTGAGCAGGGCAATTTGAACGTTCATGGCCAGGTTGGGCACCCAGAGGGCAGCAGGCTGTAGAGTTACAGCATTTAGTTGGGTGTTTAAAACGCCAACATTTCTGCACTAGCGGGGAAGGACACTCCACCAATATATACTTCATGGAGAAGGTCGTCTCAGCGGAAGCTAATCTTGTTATATGGGTACGGTCCAGTTCAGTAATATTTACGAATTCTGCTTTAGCTCGGGCCTTTTCTCAGGAGTGGCCCGGCCAATGGAGATGGGAAACTGTTTCGGTACAAGTATGAAGAGAGGAGGGAGGTTCGGCAGGAATAGCTTTGCCAGTGAGGTCAGTCAGGGTAGATAGAGCACCAGCTTGGCACTCAGATGTAACTGTAAGAAGGCATGAACGATCGGAACGAAATGAAACGCATACTTGTTTTAGAGACATTGTTAGTAGAGAAGGGTATTGTCGGATTAAAGGGTTGTACGGGGAACACAAAGAATCGATCCCAATTAGCTCGACCAAAAAGAGTGCTTAAAAGGTTTGCAGAGGTGGAATCAGTAGAAGGACGGAGGCGGAGGAAGGTGTGGTGGTATGGAGTGAGGCAGTACTGTGGGGAGGACAATAAGGTTGAAGAGTAGCAATGAAGGAGAAGGTGGTAGACAATGAAGAAGACTGTGTAGCAGATGGAGTGGAGGATGTAGGGAGGGGAAGATGCATATTCTGAAGCTTGAATAATGATCAGTGTGGATGATTCGGAAAAGATAGAGTTGTTAGTAAACATCGAGGAGAGTGCATTTGTCAGATTTGTGGTAAAAGGAAAGGCAAGGCTTGGTAAACCAGAGAAATCAAATTTAGATAGGCTAGTTCATGAAGGGGCAAGTTTTAATGTCCCTAACATGGGTAAAAATGGTGAGCCTAAAATAAGTGGGGAAAGAAACAATTTGCCCCTCAGGGTTCCCAAAAGAGACAAAGGTTCACCAAGGGAATACAATTTTATAAGTAGAGAATGATTTCATAGATTGTTTTTTTCTTTTATACACACACACACACACACTCTGCCTCGGTACTGCTGCTTATCCAATTTGTAGCCTCTACCTCCATAGTTGGCAAGCCTCTGCCGTCACCGAAGCCACGTGCCCTGAGCTACCATATAATCATTACAGGCATTCACTACATGCTTACTCCTTTATTAAACTCATTTTAACGTTCTTGACCCTTCGCAGTCACCACGAACAACACGCAGCACATCCTTTACCTGGGATGGGGCCGATAACGAGGTAACCGATAGACACAACAAGCATCGTCGCCCCAAACGTCGGCACGAAGTCGTCCAGTCCCATGTAGTCGATCATGATTAGAACGTAGATGCTCATGATGATCCCTTCGCCGATGCCCCACACTGCTAGGACGACCGTCAGCCACAGGACGTCCTCTATTTGCGTAAAGGCTGTGGATGGCATGAGAAATCCTGAAGAAAATGGCATGGAACTCCCGTGGAAATTTATCGGTGAAAGAGAGACGTGTGTTGTGCACATTTTGATATTGGATAGATTTTAATGAAAGGTGAAAACAGCAGCTTTTGTCTTTGCTGGTTTTACCTGGAAATAAAATTGGACATGGAATACTGATTGGTAAGGTGATTTCTCTCCACCGGAAGTAAGACGTTTTGACAAAGGTTGCTTCTCTCTCTAAAAAAAATGGTCTCTGAAAATGATCACTTTAACAGAGCTTTACCGGAATGCACATTGTATATCCTTTAATATCCATCTGCTTGTTTATCTACCTGCCTATCAAATTACAAGGTGTCTTCAAGCTTTTCAAACTGAATAATTTATGGTGGGGAGTCAAAAGAAAAGACGTTGCTCACCTAGCATTGAAAGGGCGACAACGAGGCTGCCCAACATGAAGAAAACCCTCTGTTGAACTTGGGCAAGTCCGTGAGCGGCGACAGGATGACGCGGATCAGCATGCCGCATAGGGCCGCCACCGAGACTCCTGTTGCGACGTCTTGCAGGCTGTGGCCGGCCTCTTGCATGGCGAAGGGTAGGACGTTTAAGAAGTTCTCGTTGGCGTTGAGGGTGAGTGTTATGCTGATGGCGATGACGACAGCTCTCGCGTGTTTCAGGATGCAAAGGTCCGCCAGCGTGGCTTTGATCAGACGAACTATAGTTGAATCTTCCTGCTTTTTGGTATTCTCTTGGCAGCAGGATGTGGCGACTTCTGGAGCTCTGGAATTCCGTCTGGTAAACGATGGGCTTGTGGAACTTGCTCCTGCGACTGGATAGCTTGCCTGACTGTATCTGGTGACCAGGGAGATTTTGGCTTTTCTTCTTGTGGTTGCCTGCTAAGGACATTTTCTGCAGATGTCTGAGAATCTGGACTCTCGTTTGATAACGTGGATGAATCAGAAACATTTTCTTGTGAGGACTCTGGCTTCACGCCCTCTGACTTCTCCAAAGGCTTCAAATGCCACTCAACCGGATGGAAAACTGCAGCTCCGACAGCGCAGTTAAAGACGACAGCTCCCAGCACTAGCGTAGCGCCTCGAAACCCGTACTGTGTCTGAAGGAAGTTGATGAGAGGAGGCCCCAGGAACTGGCCGCCCCCCTCCCAGGCCATGAGGACTCCGTTGGCCAGGCCTCGCCGTTTGTTGAAGTAGAACGGCACGATCATACAACTAATGTTGTATAGGACACCGCAGCCAAGACCTACAAATGATATGGGTGTAAGGACGTGGTATAAGTCAACTAGAATGATCTATTACAAGGACAGTAATAAAAATGTGCTCAATATGGACAAGACTAATTTGTTTTGCTTGATAAAACCATCATTGGATAGAACGGGTCATATTAAACCAACATTTCATGTTTGAAATAAAGCATGCCTCGAAAGCTGCATGAGATTTCCCAATTGTGGGACATTGCAATGCATTTACTACTAAATGTAGATGCCGATTACTTTTATACTTTTTCGCTCCAGGATTATTTATATAATTCATAACGCAATAACCGGATGCTTAATTTACATATCAAAATAAAACAAGTGATGCGCGCCGTGAAGAGGAATTGCAATAACGGATGCAAGTTCTGCCAATGTCTCATCCCTGCCTGCTTATCCGTCTGTCCATCTCGCTCGCTCTCTCTCTCCACCGACCTCTACCTACCCACAAACGTGCTGTAAGTGAGGAACAGCATCCCAGCGGAGGTGACAAAGGCCGACATCACCGTCCCGGCAGCGAGGACGACGGAGGCCCCCAGCGCCACGATCCTCCAGCCGAATTCGCCTTCGAGTGGTCCCAGGAACGGGCCTGTGATGGACCACAAGAAGCTGGCGACGTTGAAGATCCAGCTGCTCGTGGTGAGGTCGGTTCCCAGGTCCAGGAGGAAGCTGGAGAAGATCACGCCGAAGCATTGGCCTATCGTGTCGACCAGTACCTGACGGGAAAGACGTGTATATATATATATATATATATATATATATATATATATATATATAATATATATAATACATATGTATATGTATACATATACATATATATAAATGTGTGTGTGTTATTGCATATATATACATAAATATACATTTATATATATATATATATATATATATATATATATATATATATATATATATAATATATATATATATATATATATATATATATATATATATATATGCACATATATATGCACATATATATAAATAAATAAATATATATATATATATATATAATATATTATATATATATATTATATATATATATATATATATATATATATATATATATATGCACACACACACACACACACACACACACACACACACACACACACACACACACACACACACACACATGTATGCAGGACCGTCGACAAGGTGGGGGGGGGGGGGGAACACCCTCATATTCTGGAAAATGAGATAACATATAAAAGAAATAGCATATCTGCTATTATGCAAAAAAAAACAAGGAATAATATTTAGATTTGGGCAAGCATAACCCTGCTTCATACTCTTGTGTCATTTGCTTTGCTACTTATA